TGGAACATTATAATGCATTGCCACACTCAGAACGTCCATTTCAGCAGCCACGTCGGAATATGGTGAAAACACCTTAGGACATACAGCATTCTTTTGTATATCACCAAGAAAAAACAAACAAGTCTGCTAAAGTTGTTTATCAAAGTAGTTCCTTGCATAATAATAGCTTTACTCTCGCTGTATCGAATGTGTGTGAGGTGTGTATTTTTCTGTGTTTTATTTCCGACATTTTCCTATTTTATTATCCTAACGTGTTTGTTTAAAATGGTCAGCAACATGCTTTCCAAATGCTGAAGAATGTTTGACGGATGTGTGTTAGTCGTTAAAATACCACAGACACCTTGGGATAGACAAAGTCGGTTTAACAATCTCTAATCGGTGTCCTATAAACCCAGCATGGCGCGTCTTGACAAAGAACCTTATACCAATTACGGTCAAATTAGCGTTTTGATCCTTTGCGATTTGAAAAGGTAGTTTAATTTCAGAAAGCGCGCCAATTTGGCTAACGATACCCAATGTTCAAATGCTTTTGATTTTCATTACAAAATGCTAAGGCCATCGCCTCGCAAATAAAAGTAGTATTTTAAAAATATTTTGAAATCAAAGGAAGCATGTGTTTTTTAATGAAGAGAACGATCCCCAATGTTGATGTCGGAGTGATGGAGTTAGTCGTACCATCAACGGTTAACCTACCACGCTGACACAATACAAGTTAATGGCTTTGGGAAAAAAGAGAATATTTCACTTTTGTGGTTTGCATTTTACCGAGAACAAAGCTCCTGAAATAGTCCTATCTACAAAGAGACCTTTCGAGTTTTAAACTGGTAACAAAAATAGCCTGAAATAAGTGCAGACGCGCGTCTATGGAGGTCTGACTGCACCCTGATGCAGAAAAGTGTTGAGCGGTCGCCTGCACTTTTACGGGCTAAGTGTAGTCTTGTGGCTCAAGTGTTAGCTCGCCAAGTGAAGTCTCGTGTTTAATTCCTAAGTTCCACTGTCGGTATTATAATATCCCAGCCATATGAAGACGATTGGACCAGACGATCAAGTGACCTCCAACACAGCACTCAGCAATATTCACGCAAAGGATGTCGGACTGACAATAATCGAGTCTGGACCATACGATCCCATGTTTGACACCATGAAGGTCTATATATACGCTGATAAACAGTCAATTGGACCAAATAGAGAAATCTGAGGGGGTATGATACAAAAACATTACTTATAATCCACTCTATTTCTTACACAAATCACGATGACATAATATAATGGACAAGTGTTTGCCTGATCCATTCGAATTCGAGTTACGAAATAAACGGGATTAACAAGGCACTAGAAGAAGAAATATGTGGTCCCTGCCAAGTTTCATTTGTAACAGGTATTCGTTTTGGATGTCTCAAGTTCGATTTCATATCAACCATTATTTCACCTTATAGCCAGGATAGTTTGCTGGGAACCAGTTTAAACCTGGAACCCCCAGGGTGTCGGGCAATACTGTGAAATATCACCATGCAATTTAGCGTCCGAATACTGTCCGTGATGCACATGTCTTCAAATTAATACTGCTCACAAAGGCCTAAACAATTTCAGAGACTCAAATTGTCTCCGGAAACAGTAACATTGGCTTGTTTGTTGCAACAACCTGACCATGAACTTCAGCACGTTGGCAAGCTATAGCCCAAAGGCATCAACCAATGGTTTGATACTTGTCTGTTGTTGTAAATAAGGAGCATACCAGGTATTTGTTTGTTGCTACTGAGAGCAAGTTGATGGACATGTGCTTCCGTCCCCTCCCAAGGGGGTAATCAGACGCCAAACGTGTGTTCCCCCATGTGCTCCCGCGGATGGGCGGAAGAATTTCAGGCAAGGTGCGCTCCGTCCTTGGCGGACTGATTCCCTTGTCTATAGAATGCTGCTACGACAGACTGGAATTTCGGTCTTCCTTTGAGGTTCATATAGAATGCTGAGGGAATACGACAGACTGGAATTTCAGTCTTCCCATTGGCTACATGGCTATTACTGCGCATGTTACAAAACACGAATTGGTTCCCTGATTTGAGGAACTAACTGAATATTGATAGATCCTGTTCAGAATTGGTGCTCGGGAATATAAGCGTCTACCCATGTTGGGATTCGGGTTTTAAGAGCCAACGCTTTAACCACTAGGTTACCCCACCGCCCCTATTTTGATAGGATAACCCAGGGTTAAACGGTAGGTGATGTTTCCACTGATTGTATTTCAGTTGTTGGTTTATCTTTAGAAGCCGAAAGTTATGCATAGAGTGAGTGAGTTGGGTTTTACGCTGCTTTTAGCAATATTCCAGCACTATTATGTCTGGTGACACCAGAAATGGGCTTCACACATTGCACCCATGTGGGAAATCGAACCTGAGCCTTCAGAGTGACCTTATGCATTGAATGAATGAATGTTGTTTTGTGCCAATTTTATGATTCAATTATGGTTTGTATTTTGTTTGTTGCTTAACAACACTCAGCAGTTTTCCAGCTAAATGACGACGGCCTGTAAATTATTGAGTGTGAAAGAGACAATCCAATGGTCGGTGATCAGGCTTGCAGACACGTTTGATGGATGTAAACCAATTCCAAGTGCGTAGATCGATGTTCATCATGTAAATCCCAGGACTGTCTGGTCTAGATGTAATTGTGTACAGACCATCTCATATAGCTCGATTATTGTTGATTGGCTGTTAAACAACAAACAACTTGTCTTTTCTGTCCTTGCATTGTGTTAGACTGGATCATAAGACCAGGTCTAAAAACTAAATAAAAAGCCGGCCATTTAAACGGGTTTCCACATTCAAATATACAGTCACATGAAACTACAGTAAGAAATTTCAAAAGCAAAAGTAGCAAAATGATTCTGTTTGTCACCCAGTAAATAAACACATAAAATATTGCATAAACATCTTGTGTTTGCTAAATACTCCCAGATTGTTGATTGTAATTATAGGTTTTCCTGTAAACAGAAGTCATGGAGCTTGGATATTGGCCGAGGCAAATAAGAAACAATCTGGCTTCCACTTCACCCAGGAAGGATTTTGTTGTGTTTGCGTTTGATATTCTGTAACGTCAAAAGTGCTTTTATGGAACAGTGGTCTTCATCATGTTGCAAGGTTAGCTTTTATCAGCAGCAGCGGGTCACTTGCTGTTCCTCATCTTCCCGTGCTGAATTCTGTGGGTATTTTGATAGGATAACCCAGGGTTAAACGGTAGGTGATGTTTCCACTGATTGTATTTCAGTTGTTGGTTTATCTTAAGAAGCTGAAAGTTATGCATAGAGTGAGTGAGTTGGGTTTTACGCTGCTTTAGCAATATTCCAGCACTATTATGTCTGGTGACACCAGAAATGGGCTTCACACATTGCACCCATGTGGGAAATCGAACCTGGGCCTTCAGAGTGACCTTATGAGGTGAGGTGAAATTGGGTTTAACGTTGTGCTTGAGAATATTTCGTTCATATGACGACGTGCATGCGTGTGTATGTGTATGTGCGGCTGCTTGTACTAGCCCTGACTGAAGCTGGTTTTATAGTGCTAGCCCACTGAGATACCATTCCGCAGTGAAGCATGAATACCCACTCTGACACATTATACTGACTCCAAGCCGACCAGTCTTTGTTGTACCCATTAATGCCCAACGTCAGACAGGGACTAACAAGTACCATATTTTAAGGTCTTTTGGTATGACGACCTTATGCATTGAATGAATGAATGTTGTTTTGTGCCAATTTTATGATTCAATTTCACAGTTAGGTTATAGCATCCTACACTTGATAGAACCAAGACAACACAAATGAGTAGTTGATACAATGACCAGTGATTAACGCATCCTGGTGTGTGCAGTTTGCAGGGGATACCAAGGGCTACATTATTTTTTTTCTGGGATCCGGTCCTCAAAGCAATCTAAGGTGCTCTGAAATCCCATACTTTAAATACACTTCCTAGTCTACACAGCGATCCTACAGCAAAAACATCATAACAAATGGTCCATGAATCAGGAATCCTTACCTCTTGGACAAAATGGTTTCATCCAAAGGGTTTCAGGCTGAGATGTGTTTTCATGTGTGCCACTATGGTCACTCCTAAATAGAGAATCTCTCAATGAAAATGTACATCTCTGAACATGGTACTGCCATTAGACTTAAGATTGCAGCGATGTCATAGCATTGTGCGTCATCAAGTACATGACGTCATAGCATTGTCAGGGCATTGTACAAAATCTACTGTCAAAATGATATCTCCTAGGAGATATCGTTTGATCTCACTCAAGCAATATCTCCGGTGGAACACAGTTTTGGATGATAATTACAGATATATACTGATTAGTTTGGGCAGGCAGGAATACATATTCATCATCTTGACTAAACTGTGCATCACCCATAGGTTGATATGATTATAAATCAAAACAAACCATTGTAACCAACATTTTTATTAAATAAATAAACTGAACAATAAAGTTGTCATATTTGATACTCCAAGTATGACAACTGTTTCCTGTATTCCCAAATTGGGTATGTCACGCATGTAAGGACACACCATGTCATGACACACAACACAGTTGTCACACTTGATACTCCAAGTATGACAACTGTTTCCTGTATTCCCAAATTGGACATGTCACAATTATAAAGATACACTATGTCACGATACAAAAAACATGACTTGTCACACTTGATAACCAAGTATGACCTCTGTTTCTTATATTCCCAACATCGGACATGTCACACTTGATAACCAAGTATGACCTCTGTTTCTTATATTCCCAACATCGGACTTGTCACACTTGATAACCAAGTATGTTTGTTTCTTATATTCCCAACATCGGACATGTCACACTTGATAACCAAGTATGACCTCTGTTTCTTATATTCCCAACATCGGACATGTCACACTTGATAACCAAGTATGACCTCTGTTTCTTATATTCCCAACATCGGACATGTCACACTTGATAACCAAGTATGACCTCTGTTTCTTATATTCCCAACATCGGACTTGTCACACTTGATAACCAAGTATGACCTCTGTTTCTTATATTCCCAACATCGGACATGTCACACTTGATAACCAAGTATGACCTCTGTTTCTTATATTCCCAACATCGGACTTGTCACATTTGATAACCAAGTATGACCTCTGTTTCTTATATTCCCAACATCGGACATGTCAGACTCACAATGTTACGATACAAACACCTGGGCCTAGATTTTTGAGGCTCTCTAAGCGCTACAATAGTCGTAAGTGCCACACATTAACATTAACTTACGACTATCTTAGCACTAAGAGAGCTTCGAAAATCTAGGCCCTGACATCTTGCTTTAGACTTTCTCTAAACATCAAAAGGATTACTAAAGACACATCTAAAAAGCATAAAGCCACCCAAAACAGGTGAAACAGAACTTTTGATTTGTAGTAATATCATAAATTGTGTCCTCAAAAGCTATTATTTACCTATTGGTATTCCAGCACTAAATAACAGTTGTATCATCGCCAGCATCAAATTCAACTTCATCCAATGATGATTATGCATACAACTGAACACAAAATCACAGACTTGAATATAAATTATTTCACATTTCTCACACTGAATCAGAAAATCTGGGACAATATTCCACACAAACAATAAAAATTTATGTAGTTCAAAGAGAGACGAGTTAAAATAGTGTAATATTTAAGAAATCTTCAACCAACAAAAGACAACTTTAGAAATCATGAATCATGAGTGAGTGAGTATGGTTTTACGCCACTTTTAGCTATATTTCAGCAGTATCACGGCGGGGCACACCATAAATGGGCTTCACACATTGTGCCCATGTGGGGATTCGAACCCAGGTCGTCAGCATGACGAGCCGACGCTTTAACCATTAGGCTACCCCACCGCCCCTTCACACATTCTACCCATGTGGGGAATGGAACCCAGGTCTTCGGCATGACGAGTGAACGCTTTAACCACCAGGCTACCCCACCACCCCTCACTAATCATCATTTTCATGATAATTTACTGCGAGAAGAACTGGTAACATCTTTTTTACAATAGTCATGGTTCAGATGAGCAGAAACTAGTAGAAATAAACCATCAACAGAACCATATCCCATAAGAATACTACATAATCCACATGTATTTCCCAATGCTCAAACATCACAAATAGACAAAGAAATTGGACTAAGGTAACATTGGAGTACATATTTCACATTCCACACTAAATGTGTAATTGCATGGTATTAATTCAGTAATTTGAGGAAGGGGTGAATATGGCAGTAAGTCTCAGCTTTGTCATACAGTTACAAATAAAATATATAATGTTATCAAAAAAACTAAATATATTCCATTACAATATTCAGGGAGAATTTGCATTGATTTTTACTGGCAAGTTTGTGTATGTACAAGATGAAGTCGATATCTATCTTTTGTGGTACAGACATGCAAATCGCATTATAGGAATTCACATTTTGGGATGAATAACTCTAAGAATAATATCTACTTCTACTTCTTCTAAGAATAATATCTACTGGTACTATTACGGCAGAATTTTTTTATTATTTTGACTCAAAAGGTTTGCCAAAAAAGTAAAAGTGTTTCTAAGTGATAGTGTCTCCTAAATACATCTCGTTATTCCGTAGTCTGAGTGTGGCTTGTAATTTAAAAACATCACTGTACTGATCATGCTGAAGTTTTGACATCACCTATATCATCAGGGCTATGCTAACACATGGATCCATTCAAGTGGTTCTTGCAAACTCAAATACATACCCTTGATTTTCATACCATTTTTATCGACCAACCAAACAGAGATATGGCAAAAGGATATAACCCTCGGGAGGTAATGGAAACAGACATGAAGCAGATATGACAACCCTAATTTAACCCAGTTAGTATTTTGGCCAAAAAGTGATGCAACAATTAGTATTTTTTTTGCCAAAACTAGTATTCCAAAATCATTGTATTCCATTTTTGCTTTATTTTAATTTAGAAGAAACAGGGTCCACAGATCAGTGATCCAACAAAAAATAAAGTATTGACCTAAGCTTGCAACTGTAAGCCCCTCCACGCTTCAGTAAACCAAGGGGGTTATATGGTAACACATATAAAGATCATTGTGATATTCTCAGCTCCTCCTACAGAAATGTGACTACACAAATCAAATCCCCACAAACCACATACCCCCAACACACCAAACCCTGACTTAGTACACCAGCAACATTTTATGTACACATGAAAGGTCACATGCAACGCAAAACACAACTTTGCAGATTCTGATACCTTTCGGTATGGACTTACAGTAAGAAATTATGAAAAATGCAAATTCAACTTATAAAGTTGACAAATAACGCGATGAACCACCCCTGCGAAATCGGAGCTCAAACGATTCACTAATTTCACCCCAGCACATCTTGGGTCTGCAGTAATAAAAATACACTGGTCCCATACTTGGTTGCAGATTTGCAAACCAAGTTTTGAAGAAAGTCTATCATTAGAAATACTAATTTCATTGTCAAAAATTGCTAAGCTTCAAAACTGAAATGTTTTAATACATGTCTATGGAAACAGCAAAATATGTTGATTGTAATAAGCTGTCTTTGTCACAGACAAAACTCAATGTCTGTTTCATTGACACCTATTTGTCTGCCTGCCTGTCTGCTAATGACAATATGCAATACACAACTTCAATCATTGACCACATGCAATTTGAACTTAACACCTATCAGGCTATACACCATAAACAAAATACATTGATTTATGGTTTGTGCACCTGAGTTCTGTTTCTGTCACATTATGTAATTACACAGACAGGCAGGTGTGATACTTGTACACATGACATGTTATTATGTCTGTGGGTGGTGAGGTTGCAAACAAACTGCATCCATTTTTCTCGGATGACTGGATCGGACGGAAACCGGTGCAAACTCAGAATGTCAGTTTCAAGTCCTGCTTTGTACTTGGACGAACGACAGTTTCCAGCCACGCAGTAGTTCACCATCTCAGTATTTGTTGATTGGATCGAACGCAAATGCAGAGAGCATGTATTTACAAAACCCAACATCTCTATATACATTATTTATGGATAACAACTTCTTTTATTGTATATGATGCGAGTTGTTATCCATAAAGAATCTTACTTTCTTATTACTCACCATACTTCTAAAATGTCAATCAAACAGATCATCTCTATATACACACACACAATGAGCCCTCAGTGTATCGGCAAAAGAACAAGCCAATGGAAAGACTTCGTTACACTTGAGTGCACACCCACCCGCTCTGACTAGGTTCGGTCTCCCAGGTGCTTCGTTTTGAGGGAAGTAAACCCAAGTACAAAATATTGCACTTTTGATTCGCGATTGTACGCTTATAGTTTTGTTCATTTGTTTTTGCACAATCAGCAATGTATATTATATGTCATGAATAAGTGATAATTGTGTTTTAATTATGTTTGTTTTTTGGTTGCATGTGACCTTTAACAAATCATCTGACTAGAATCTATGTGCACGCGTGACAGTATTTAAAATAATGGCGTCTAGGTCTAGTCGAATGTTTTGTGAATCTCAGGACCATTTTGACGTTCCTGCTCTATTTTTAACACTGCACAACATACAAAACCCTCGAAAATATACAAATTCATTTTATCAAAATATAACAAAACATACATGTATCAATCTGTAGTAATAAATGACCAAACTAAATCCATTATTTGATGGCAAGTTTTTGAAAAGAAATAACCATGTCAGGTGACCTGTAAGCTACAATACTAGGCTATATCCAAGAGAAGAGTGATCAGATCATTTCCTAAGATGCGATACCTCACACAGTGAAAATTTCACAATCCTTCCATAGGGGTACATTGGGTGAACGTTCAAATAAGCCACAAAGTGTTTCAAAATGTATCTTATTGTCCACTTCCGAATGTAAATATAGAATACACCATAAATTATATTGTTATTGAGATTTTATACACCCAAAAGTGAGTACCATCAAAGAATATATGTCTGTAATATGAGGGTCTCCTTTTGTTCAAAAGAAATTTCCGAATCAAGAATGTGAAGAAACTGAAAGCTGAATCATTAAGAAAACTAACAACAGATTGGCAAAAACACACATTCTTTGTTGAGACTTTGTGGTCAAAGTTCCCTCAAGCCTCACCTGACATGACTTCCCATGGACTGACTGACTGAGTTTGGTTTTACGCCGCTTTTAGCAATATTCCAGCAACATCACGGCGGGGGACACCAGAAATGGGATTCACACATTGTACCTATGTGGGGATTCGAACCCGGGTCTTCGGCGTGACGAGCCAACGCTTAAACCATTAGGCTACCCCACCGCCCCAACTTCCCATGGAAGGGTAATGAGATCCAAATAGTGTGGTACAGTATCCAAGTCTTCTGATTTTGAGAATAACAAGCGAGCACTGTCTTACATCAAGGTACAACTTCAAACTACTAAGCAAGCAAGATTTATCAGCTACCTACCACTATGATCATATGATTATGATGATGATGATGATGATGATGATGATGATGATAACTTCATCATCTGTGGCAGTCACCTTATCCTGCAGAAACATATTGCAGACAAGACCCTGCTCTACCAAAATATATATTTAAATTGTGAGACTGCTAAAACCAGAAACTATTATTGCTTTGTTGTTTACGCTTTAGGCTCTTGCTGACTGGGTACAGTCTTTTAGCAATATTCCAGCAACATCACGGCGGGTGACACCAAAAAAAGCACAAGCAGTAGGTGACTGAAGATCAATTCTAACCCAGATCAAACCCATATCTCCCCAGAATGATGGAGTTCAAGTGGGTGAAGGATTGCTTGAACCCACATCAGCAATAGGGCAGCAATTCATAATATAAAAAGCTTTTTAAGTTGAGTTCTTAAAGTTATCAATATCAATATGGTTTGAGATAGAGGCATGGCTACTTTGGTTTCAATTCCACTGGTTGTCTAACTCAGTTTGTATTTTGATTACCTTCACATACTGATCAATATATACAAACATACAGCGTCATAATGTACACAATCATCCCTCAAACTCCATTGCTAAAATGTCCATAACAGACTCCATAACATTCATTTTGATAACATATCATTTAACTGCAAATGCATCTAAAACATGACCCAGGAACTCTCTATAATCAGACACAGACCAACCTGGGTGTTACCATTTCATCATTTCTGGTAATTGCAGACAATATGGCTGGAACGGAACTCTTTGAATCCGATAAGCTTTATTAAAATTAATTTCAGCATGTCTCTAATTCCCCATTTTCTAGCACTGTTGAGAAAAATCTTTTCAGCTGATATTTCATTTTTGCACCAGATTCCAACTTTTTGCATCTCATGCCGTCAGTTTAGATAAAAGTCATGAGCAGAAGCAGCAGCAATGTTTCTTAAACTGGAAGTTGTAATTTCTGACAACCATAATGGTTACAGTTGTAAGATGCTGTGAATTCAAAAATGTTTTGTTAACTCCAGACAATTCGAACAATTCTTTAAAGCTAAATTTTCAGCATAGGCTGCAAGAGAATTCTTCTTTGTATATTATTTGTTTAGATAAATAAATTTTTTGTACTGAAATGCTGTTACTGATTGCATACATTTTATATATCACAAACACAAAATATTGACCTCTGATTGTATATAATTTTATGTCCCAGACATTTACCCATTGTTACAGATATTCAATGTTATATGTCAGATCAGGGAGGAAATAGGTGACTGTATAGAATACTCATCTTGTGTAATATCAGGCAAGTATTCCACAACCACTGGCACCAAACATCCGAAAACCAGGAAAGCTAACAATACATATAAAATATAGAATTCTTTAACGTTCACCATAATACTATTGCCCTTTGTCAATAATATTACTTTTTGATTTCTTATTTTTGCCTTGTCCCCAGACATAATTGTAGTTTTCTTCTAACTGTTGTTGCTTTGATGCTTCTTTGGATGCTTCGTTGGTTCCACCCTGAAACAGACAGGAACATTTTAGAAAACAGAAACACTGGTTGATTGGTAATGTGAGTGAATATGTTATGATGACGTTTTGCCCATTTGAGGCTCAGCATGGCTGTTCTTCTGGATGAAAACAGAATGCAGAACAGACGTTACACAAAGTCAATTATGAGTGAGTAAGTTTAGTTTAACGGCGCAATCAGCAATATCGGCAGCCTGTAAATAATCAAGTCTGGACCAGACAATCCAGTGATCAACAACATGAGCATCAATCTAAGCAAATTGGGTTCAGATGATGTGTGTCAATCAGGTAAGCAGGCATGACCAACTGATCCCATTAGTTACCCCTGACAAGCATGGGTTGCTGAAGACCAACCCGGATCTTCACCAATTCGTGAGTGATAACAAAGATTTCAACCTTCATGTCCCTTACATGCCCTTTATATTTCATGAGCAAAGCCATGACTACTTGGCTACCACTGCCCTAAATTACTGAAAGACATACAAGCTCGGTCACACTCTACTGCTGCACTACAAGGTGCTTAGATGCATCACTTCAGTAATGTTGCCTGGGAATCTGTCAGGATTTGTTCAGGGAAAACAATATCATATTATACCTAAGGTCAAATATATATCAGATTAAGTGAAGACAAATATAATCTTATAAAAATTGTAACCATTTAATAAACATATTTGATAGTACGATATCCTGTTAGTATGTAAACATAATTTGACCAAGTTTTTAATAGATTGGCAACTTGGGGTCAACAAAATCCGGACATCCTTCCAGTGGTCAGCAGAGGGTCAACACTGATCTTCAACAAACAAAACTGACCAGGATTACTAAAACAAGAGATTTAGACCTTCCATTCTTGGATCAGGTCAAACATGAAGTGGACTTAGTTCTGACCAGTAGCCAAGGACATTGCATAGATGAACATGTACTTCACAATTACTTGTTGGTAGGTCAACTTCACTGTGTTTCTGAATGTAACATGGCTCAGTCTGTACAAAAACCTGGCAACCCAAACATTTTCAGTACAGAAAAGTATAATCATGTATACTATTATTAGCTGAGTGAGTGAGTGAGTGAGTGAGTGAGTTTAGTTTTATGCTGCACTCAGCCATATTTCAGCTATATGGCAGCGGTGTGTAAATAATCGAGTCTGGACCAGACAATCCAGGGATCAACAGCATGAACATCGATCTACGCAATTGGGATACGATGACATGTGTCAACCAGGTCAGCAAGCCTGACCACCCTATCGCGTTAGTCGCCTCTTACCACAAGCATGGGTTGCTGAAGATCAATTCAAACCGGATCTTCACAGGTCTATTATTGAGCAACACACATACTTGACCCGTTCTTTTCGACCAGTGGCTAAAGATGCAGACATGTCTATTTTCCCTATGCCAGGTGCAGCCTGACAAGACAATTTGAACAAAACAGCATTTCTTTATAATGCTACCTTTGATAATTACCTCACTAATGCTTAGAAGCTCATGTTGCTTTTCAGTTTCCAGCTACCACATAACAGGAAGTAATCAAGTCGGTAGAAGTGAGTGAGTGAGTTTAGTTTTACGCCGCTTTTAACAATATTCCAGCAATATCACGGCGGGGGACACCAGAAATGGACTTAACACATTGTGCCCATGTTGGGAATCGAACCCGGGTTTTCGCCATGACGAGCGAACGCCTTAACCACTAGGCTACCCCACCACCCCAGTCGGTAGAGGACAAAACCGGTGAGTGATATCTTGAGCAACATTTACCCATCATCAGATTATGTCATGGTTAAGCCTGACCACTAGATCACTTATCATAAACCTTGGCTATTGGACCCCACGCTTTGAATTCAAACATTTTGGGATTCCAAACCACACACAGGCGGATCCAGAGGGGGGTGCAGGGGTGCCCCACAGCACCCCCTTTTTTGTCCTGAAAGTTCATCAAATGACCATTGAAACTCTCGTGAAAACGGGTGAAAATGAACTGTGCATCGTCCCTTTCTCATAAAGCTGTATCCACCCCTGCCACAATTATAGGTTTCTGCCATACCCAAGGGAAGCAACTCTGCCCAGCAAATCACAGCTCATATAGGTTTCTGGTATACTCAAGGGGAGCAACTCTGTCCATCAAATCACACCTTCTAAAACAACTGGGCCACATATGCCCCTGGCTAAGGAATGGAGTCGGTTGTTTTATCAAATATAAGTTCTTAGGCCTGTAACTGAAACTGCCTGAAAAGCTGTAAGCTGTCGATCAAACTTCTGTATCAATTGCAATGAAAACATAAATCATGCGAGGGAACTAAAACAACAAAGCCTGTAAAAGAGGCATCCATATGATACCAACATGTGTCTTACGCAATAAGAATGTTAAACATTGAACAAAAGTTGAACAAAACAATGTATGTTTTCAATTTAATTCAAAGAGTTGAAGAGAAATTCAATGCCTGCCAAAGTTGCTACCATTTGACTTCTCTCAAAATGTGTATCATGTATGTCAACAGGAATTATTTCTGTAAGGTTCCTGACATACATATCTTTGGCATGAGGTTAAAAGTTGGAGTGAAAAATACATGCTCTCAGACCTGTGAAAATGTGTGCTTTAAAATGACACTTTGTGTCTTTGTTTTGAGGCAATTTCAAACACATTTTTCACATATGAAATGTACAATAGATCCTTACACAATGTTCATAAATAACCAAAGTGATTTGACACATGTACTGTTACAACAGGAACATATATACTGCTAGAGGAGTCTTCTGGCCGGCATTTAGAAGCTTTAAGAAAATGAATACTGGACACATTTTTTATGAATAACAGTGAGTTTGGTTAACGCCACTTTTAGCAATATTCCAGCAATATCACGGTGGGGAAAACCAGAAATGGGCTTCACACATTGTACCCATGTGGGGAATGGAACCTGGGTCTTCGGCATGACAAGCGAAGGCTTTAACCACTAGGCTACCCCACCACGTCTTATGAATAAAAACTTAATTCTTTTTCATTTTTTGAGTGGCATTTTTAGATGTAGAAGAGTCAGATAAGGACAAACTTTATAGATGAACAACTTCTTGATTCAGGTGATGCAATGTTCGTCAAGAAGGTATGACAACGTATCGAAACGTCGCATCACCTGAATAAAGAATTTGTTCCTCCATAAAGTTTGTCCTTATCTCTTAATTCTGGGGGCGGTGGGGTAGTCTAGTGGTTAAAGCGTTGGCTCGTCACGCCGAAGACCCGGGTTCGAATCCCCACATGGGTACAACGTGTGAAGCCCATTTCTGGTGTCCCCCGCCGTGATGTTGCTGGAATATTGCTAAAAGCGGCGTAAAGCCAAACTCAGTCAGTCAGTCTTAATTCTGGTTATGTTTCTGACTTACTTCTTGCACAATTTATCACATGAACAGGCAAAAGTAGCTCTGATATGTCATTACAAAGGAGATGGAAGTAGCAATCCATAAAACATGGACTCCTACATGGTAATTATGACTAAATGAACAATCAGTTCAGCTTAATAGAATGATATTAACACTAGTGTTGAGAATTGGTCAAAATCTCACAATTTATGATTGGTTCATTACCAACGAGCAATCATGGAAGAAAATTGTTTAGCGTCATTTTTCAGATTTTCCTGTTCAGGTTGTTAATGCAGATAAGTGTAAAGAATGTGGTTTTCTGTTGTTTTTGTTTCATTTAAAAACCACGTAAATTTCAATTCCAATGTAACATGATGCAACTTGCTCCTCTAAAGTGATGACTAATATATCATGAAGATAAGCTTCCCTGATTCTTCAAGAAATATTCAGTCATGACTTTTCAGTAAGTGAAGTGGCTTTTCTAAGAATTCAACACGTTTTCAGGCTCTGACAACTTCTAAGACATGTCAAGTTTTTCAAACAGTAAAAGAGTAGTTCCAAAATCATATGTGTTCAATTATTACAAAATGTGATTGATTGCTTGGTCATTTGGTCACTGCGACCAATCTTCGATTATTTCAATTAATCAGAACACCACTAATTATCACATTCTTCTGAGGAAGAAAATCAACTTGTTTAACACACACAAAAGAGTATTTTCATATATATTTATTTCCGGTACTGAAAGGCCACAGGCCTGTAGTACAATGCATTTATAAATCAATATTTACATGCACGGATAATATACATGAAGAAGGGAACATAATCAACTTTAGGTTACATTGTGTTCTGAGATATATTCTGTCCTAAACAACATGGCATAGTAAGCAAACATGGACAAGTTTTGAAGTATAGTATGGGTTTTGTTATTCAACAATGCTGAGAATTTATAAAGGTTTGGATGGGCACAATAATATTTCTTAATATACAACTTTCTGATGGAATTATAAGCAGGGCAAATTAAAAGAAAATGATATTCATCTTCTATTTGGTTAAGATCACATAGTTTGCAAGTTCTATTTTCTTTTTTGACATTTTTAAATCTTCCACTTTCGATAGATAAATCATGTGAAGAACATCTCAATCTGTATTATTAATATCTATATGTTTTAACTGAATTTTATTGGTCTGTTGTTTAACATCTCACTCTGCAATATTCCAACTATAAGCAGCAGTCTGTAAATAATAGTCTGGACCAGACAATCCAGTGATCAACAGCATGTGAATCCATCTATGCAACTGGGATATTGATATGGATATTAGTCAAGGAACTAATAAACTGCAATTAAGCAAATTCTCGTATCTGTACAACTGCAGAATAATAATGATTTTCCAAAATACCTATCCACTGTCAAATTCGTCACTCATTCCTCTCATACAAAATACAATGTTTTGGCACGTTTGCCATCTACTTGCTAAGTTTTCTGATGATCTGTGAACACTGTGTTCTCAAAATGTCAGTGTCTTGATGTAAACTGACCACCGCCATGGGGATTTTTCACAAAGACTAAACTAAAGAGAGTTGATTGCCAACCGAGGACCTCTGTTTGTACATGGATTGCTATGTCCGTGATACCTGGATAGTTTCTACTGACCACTGCTGACCAACTGACCTATTTTCACATGCATCATGTGGCCGTTGATGACATTTTGGAAGGTGGTCAAGCTATGTTTGAAGAATCATCGAGATGTGTCAACTTTGGAGAATGCTGCGTGGAATCTCTTGTTTTTGTGAATAAGATTGTGGGTTTCATCTAGCGAAAGAGTTGTTTCTGCTTGTTAATTTTGTGGAAACTTGTGTAAAGTCTCGTTCCTTAAAGTTAGCACTATGTCTTACTGCGTAACTTTTTTATATACACGAGTCCAACAGTTCAGCTACAAGATACCTGGGATGGTGGGGTAGCCTAGTGGTTAAAGCGTTCGCTCATCACACAGAAGACCTGGGTTTGATTCCCCACATGGGTACAATGTGTGAAGCCTATTTCTGGTACCCACTGCCATGATATTGCTGTAGTAGTGCTAACAGTTGCATAAAACTAAACTCACTCACTCACTCCTCCACAAGATACCCCAAAGCACATGAAGATAGTGGTCGTTTTTAAAAATTTCATTATTGTTGTTATTGTTATCATAAAAAATAAAGAATGTGTCTCAATCAGTATTGTAACTTTGATATTTCCATAGTCACCAGCTGACAAAAATATGTTGTGTGGAGTATGGCTGATCCAAAATATGATGAGATATATTTGGATGAATATCAAGTTATAGACACAAGATTTGTCAGTCACCAAACAATGTTATATAAGGTCAGACCAATTATATTTCTTATTTTACAGATTTTTGTCCTTAGAAAACCTAAAGGCAGGAGGGTAAAAACAATAAAAATAAAAATCACCAGTCAAAGTAATATTCCTTTTGAATACTAAAAGTATTTTACTTTTGGCAACTTATGAAGTGTATATGGGGCAAAAAACAATCTAAAAACATTTTCTTGCATAATTACATTTTTGGCCAATAAAAATATTAAAATTTTATTTTTTGAGCAAGGAAAATTAATATATATTTTATTTCATATTCTTGAAAAATACGACTGGATCTGTAAAACAAGAAATAAAATTGGTCTGGCCTAATGGAAGTTTTTGTTACCCAAACTAATGATTACACACTGCCATTTAGAAAGTGGTCATATGTAACATACGTTACACTTGGGATTACACTTTCTTAGTAAAGTACAAATTCTAGCACTTTTGTTGGGTTGAGTCCCATCCGGGATTCGAACCCACACCCTCAGAGTCAGGCACCTAATCGCCAGCACACAACATCAGCTGCCTAACCCGCTCAGCCACCGCGACTTCCACAAAAATGGAAGTCGGACAACTGGTAGTCTAGACTGCGGACTTTGTGTACCCCTCTGATAAGTGTAAATTGGCACGGCTCCCACGGCCGAAAGATATGATTACACAATGTCATTTAGAAAGT